CGCCCCGGCCCTGGGAGGCGCGCAGGGGAGGCGCGCGGCGGCGGCGGCGGCGGCGGAGGCTGCTCCCGGGGCGCCGCCGAGCTGAGCGGCGCGTCTTCTAGGGGGCTTCGGGGCAGCGTTTAGCACTGCCCTTCCGTTCCGCCGCGTAGCTGCCCCGCGGCTGCGTTGAAGCGACGGCGGTGCCCTGTTTCTAGAAAGCGGCTCCTTGGAAAGGTCGGGGCTGAAGACAAGTTGGGCTTTCTTAGGCATAAAGACCCCCCCGCACGCACGCACGCACACCCACGCGCCTTTGCAGCACTTGGAGACACCCCCCCCCTTGCTCTGTGCTGGATTCCTTCCCACGGGCCTGTCCCGGTCACAGGCCTTTTGTTTGTTTTTTTACTCTTGGTTGGTATAAAAATGTAACAAATAAACCTCTATAAAGCAGCAAGGAGGTTTGCAAAACAAAAAGTCAAAACAGGTATCCCCATAAATGGAAAACCTAGTAAGGCAAAGGTAAGAATGAGAAACACTTGAAAAGCCAAGTTCAGAAGTGCCGGAGGCAGCGGGCCTGGGGGCCTGTGTCCCAGAGAAAGCAGCCCCTTCCTAGAGAAGGGCCCCCACCAGCTGATCGGGGTAACAGAGAACCTTCCCAAGCGGACCCCCAGACAAATGGATACATTCTGACCCTAAGGCCATTTTTGTGCTCACAGATGGCGAGAAAGCACCGTCCGGACCCCATCCAAGAAGGGGACGCACCAGCAGCAGAGATGCCAGGCCGCGCTCTCCACCTCCAGCCATTCCACACCACCGCAGGGCCCAGGAGATCTCTTCACCTCTTCCCCGGAAGGTGCTTCCTGCTCTCTCCTTGTGACAAACAGGCCAGCCCCCATGCAAGAGAACAGACGGCCACGGATCCCACCCCGGCAGCAGGACGTTCAGAAAACAGCGGGGCAAAAGTCTGTCCCCCGTCGCAGGCCACTCCCCTGCTGACCAGAGAAGTTGGCTTCTTCAACAAAGGGAGGCTCCAGAGGGAATCCCGCTGAATTAGAATGTATCAAGAAGTTTGATTCTGCCTGTTTGGGTATTAACGGAGACAATGGCTCCCTATCTCGCTGGAGACAAATGGACCAAAGGCCTGTCTCACCCAGCATTCTGTTCACTCAGCATCCAGCCAGCTGCCTGGCCTCATCCGCTTAGCAAATCTAGGGTGTTTTTCCTTCCGCCAATTAGTGGTGTGGCGAAAGGTCGGTGTGCTTACCTTGCATCTCATCGCATACACTCATCGCTGTACGTTGCATTTCATGGCTCGATCTGAGCCCACTGATCAAAAAAATGCACGCAGCGCTATAATTCAGACCAGGACTGAGAGACCTAGGGCCTTGCATAGTGATGAACTACAGTCCCCGTCTTCCCTTAGCACTGGCCATCCTGGCTCAGTCAGATGGGAGCTGGAGTCCAACAGTATCTGGAATCGCCTCACCCCTGGCATGGAGCATTACCCAGAAGTGGAGCCTTATTTAGTGCAGTCTAATTTTAGCAGACTGAGGTTTAACTGAGGTTTATATTTTGTACTGAGACGATTTAGTGGACGACCAGCGCTGGCCCTGCGTTTGGGGGTGCTCCTCGCTCTGGAAATGGGCGCGTTTTTGCCAAAGAGACACCAAGTCGCCTGGCACCCCGTCTGACGGAAAGCAAAACCACCCCAAATAGTAGATAGGCTGCAGTACTCCAAGAAGGCAGGGAAGCCAGTGCCGGATGCAGTACAGGAGCTATGGTCTGTCGCCAGGGAGTGGGGGTGTCGCCTGGGAAGTCACATCCGTGAATCCCGCCGATGCAGCAAAGCCTGTGCTGGCCGCAAAGCCCGGGTTCCAGGACTTAGGACTTGATTAGGATTTGTGAAGCTGACGTCCATTTCACATGCTGCATTTGGAATTCCACGGTCAGCGGGATCGGCTGGCTCCGCGGAAGCTCCCCTGCCTCCGGCGAGTCCTTCTTTTTCCCCTTTCCTGCAAAAAGGCAAAGAAAAAATAGACTTTTTGCTCGGAGGGCCAGTATCTTGAACACGCAGGGTTTTTACTTACTCCCTTTAATTGGGGCCTAAAACTCACTCCGATGGCCTTTTAGTGAAACCTCAAGTACATGCATGTCTGAAAGAACCTGCAGAACAAAAGGCACAGATTGGGGGTTTTATGCACTTTTACATTCCTTTGAGGGTCAGGAGGAGCAAGAGCAGAAGTTGAGCAAGATAATACTGATGCTGCTGTGAGGACAAGCCGGACGTTCCCGTCCGGCAGGGATAACTGCTGGTTACCCCTGAAAACCCCTAAAATAGGAGCCTTTCAGCTCGACGGGTGCCCCAGGAGAAACCTCGCTGCACACCTCATCTGCACGGCTCCCCAAGGCCCGGAGGAGGGTCACATGTTGGAAGGGACGGAGGAAGCCCTGCAGCTCCCACCTGGGCGGGCGAGGAAGCGCACGCCTGCCCTGCCCCGCCCCACCCTGCACAGGATCGCGCCCCAGAGGGCTTTGGCGTCTGGATTCCACCCGGCTGCCTGTCCAGTCTGATTCCAGCAGGAGCCACGCAGGAGCACCAACCGCAGGAAAGCACACGCTGGCGAAGCAGTCCAGCTCAGAATCTTTACTCTGGCAAAAGGATTCAGTGTGCACAAGAGAAGGGCCAGGGAGGCGATGTCGCTTGAGAAACTGATAGCCGGGGTGAAGAACAAAGAAGAAGTTGTCCGGCAAGCAGGGAGAGCAAGCCCGGGCTGAATTTTTTAAAGGTTAGGTGCGAAGATCGTGGGAAACATCCCTGCCCTGCAGGCAGAGTGGTTGTTTTTGGCCATAAGCTTCCCTTTCCCCAGCATGTCACTTTATTCAGGGCATGTGGGCAAGTCCAGCTGGTTCCACGGCTGTCTTTTAATGCCTCCCATGAAGGGCCCCTCATGGGAGGGACTTTGGACAGACAGCGCGAGCAATGCTCATGTTGCGCTTCGCCTCCTCGCACGGTTCATTGTATGTGCGTCCATTTTCAGACATGTTAAAATTTTCTCTGCCTGTTAGATTTGTTTAAAAGCCACCCATTAGCATCATGTCTGGAAACTTTTTTGGGGGATGGTCGCATTAACCTTTCCTAGCATCGTATTAATTGCCTGACGATGACAGTCCCAGGACTGAAACTAATTTTTAAAAACTAGCAGTGACAGCTTATACTACTGGCATAATTACTGGTGGTGTCGGCAGCCTGTGCTCTCGTGTGTGTACCGTTACCTTTGGCAAGTGGTGAGGTTTTCTCCGGTCCAGCTTTGGGTTTTTTCTCCTTTTTTGCACCCTTTTTACTATCCTGCAGCGGGGGGGAGGGAGACATTTGTGCTTTTCAGGAAGGGGAAGAGGCACGTGGCCACAGAAAGGCAGCACAGAAACTGCACGCAGCCAGGTGCTCCCGGCTGGGCTCTCCCGCAGGGACCCACTTCGAGGCTTCGGCTCCACCTGGAATAGTCTGCCCATTTGCTTCGGGGAAGCAGCCGTCTCCGCCCGTCTCACATTCCCTTCTGGCCGCCCGAGGCCTGGCGGCAGTTCCAGCCACCCCGCGGGGGAAGTGGCTGGAATCAACATCCCACCATGGCCAAAACCTGAATGCCAAAATTTTGTACACTGCAGCCTCACCCAAGAATCCGTGGCACGTGTAATTCCCCCTTGTTCAGCAGTACTCAGGCGATGGTCAGGTACCTTTTCCTTTGGAGACGGGGGCTGGACGTGCACCTCTGCTGCCAACACACCGAAATCACACACGGTCTCCAGCAGGGATTCCCCGGCAAGGAGGCCTTCCAGAGCGACACGGACGGAGCCCAGCGTCTTCAGGATGGGGGGGTCACTCCGCAGCTCGGGGGACGGCAATTTCTTTTTCTTCTTGTTGCCAGCCTGCATGGGGAGGACACAATGCCAGAGAAAAGCACAATACTTTAAGTAGAACATCTTAACAAAGACTCCATCCTGGAGATGTAACTTGGTTCCAAACACCCAGTTCTATGTTAACAAATTAAGGACCCTTTCCCTTCTGATGACTGGTTATCTTTAAACCGGGCATGGACTTTTCTTACCTTCCCGACATCTTTGCCTTTCCCCTTCTCTTTCTCTTTGTCCTTTTTCCCCTTCTCTGGTTTGCCCTTCTCTGGTTTGCCCTTCTCTGGTTTGCCCTTTCCTTTTTTGGTCAAGCTTTCGTCAGGAGTGGTAACTATGGGCCATGAGACAACCTGTTAAAACAAGGGAGCATCTTGCATTTAAATAGCTTTGGAGGGAACAGAAATTTAATAAACAAAACACTGCCCAGGCAAACTCTGTGGAAGTGAGAAAAGCTCCGTTTTCGGAGAATGCACTTGCAGCTCCTCCGAAGGTGAGAAATGGCTGGTCCCACCTGCCCCAGGCCTTGGCCCACGATGCGAATCAGAACCCGGGCAGGGCGGGCTACCTTTTCCTCGATGACCTCCACCGTGGTCCCGGCCAGAAGGAAGGCTTTCAGCCCGGCCACGTCCTGGGCGCAGTGCTCTTTCCGGTAGTCGCACTCGATGGTCTCCGCCCAGGGCTTCCGGGGGGTGGCATGCAGATTTGCTGCAGGGGGAGAGGGGGGCCAAGGCACTCTGCCACAGCTCCACAGCGCCCCCTCTAGCTGGGGCATGAGTCTCCGGCACGTGGCAGCTCCGGTGACCCCCCCCATGCTCCCCGCCACATGAGGGCAGGGCTTGCTTGCGAGTAGAACCCCAGGCCCGGCGGTCCAGTTAGCTGGTGGCCCAGGAAAACTGCTCACAGACCCTCCCTCCCGCAAGACCTGTGGAGGGACTAGCTCACCCGTCTCCAAGGGCGCCTCCAGCTTGCTCGACGTCTCCGTGGCTGTGGGGGTATGGGTGCCTCCTTTTTCAGGGGCTGTTGCAAGGTCACCATCCAGTGCCGTGGGTGTGGGACTCACTTGGGACACCACAACCTGGGGCAGAAAAGCACCCTGGGGTGCGTGGGGGGGGGGGGAGACGACATGTCCTTACTGCGTGGCCCATGCGGGTGTCTCTCAACATTTGCATTTCTTTAATGCACTTCTTTTCAGCCTGGATCATAAGCAGCTGATGCGGAAGAACACACCTTCCCTTTGCACTGTTACTGTTCCGCCATTTGATTCGTTCAAATGATTGTTCACTCCCAGAGTATTAATATTTAACTTGGTTATTCACCAGATATGCCGCACGGAGTCATTAGTGATAACAGGATGAAGGAAAAAGAGCATCAAGAATGTGGATCTGCATTTAATCCCAGGAATGGGAATGGAGACGGAGAGATGGATGTTGCGTAGATACACAGTGGACAGACAGATAAATCGTGCCGCTTTTCCGTTATTTGGACTCCAAGGCACAAACACCAGTTAAAAACACCAACAGCCAAGAACAAACCAACTGTTAATAAGATCCCACAATCAAGTCTACGGGTTTGCAGGCTTCACAGAGGGCCGTGCCCCCTTTCTGCCCCCCCCCCCCCGACCAGCACTTATTTGAGAATCTGCCAGCTTTTGCAGTTTTCCCCCATTCTTAGAAGCTGAAATGCCAGAATGCTTTGTTACTGGCAGGAAGCACCTGAAGCTCAGCAACACCCTGTTCACCGTCGGTCTTGTCCGCAAGTGGAATATGGTTCCTGAAGGGATCTCCCAAAGCAAGCATGTCTCCCTGTCCAAACCCAGTTTAAGCTGCTAGGATGGAGTGAAGGAACAAGCAAGCCCTCCTTCCTCAAGACAGGAAAGGCATTTTTTGAGGAAGCATTCAAAAATAGATACCGTGGCCTCGGCGAACTCATATGTCACATAATAACTGTAGGTGATGACTGGAGACTCGGGGCCACTTTCCGGTTCCTCGGGGCCTATGGGGTTGGGAACACCCCTGATCTTGCCAATGGTGACGATCATCTTAGCCCTGCATCTCAGGAGCTCTGGAAAGGAAGCGCGGCAGTGCGTGGTTCAGCCACAGCTGCGGCCAGTTTAACGCAGGGCTCAGATGCCCGGGCAGGACGGGCTGCCAGCTTAGCAAGGCCGGAGCGACCTGCCTGTGGAGGCAAAGCACAGCAGCAGAAACAGCAGGTGGGGTAGAGGAAAGGGAAAGGGAAACCAGAATTCCAGTAACCCATAAGTGAGATCTGCCGCAGGAGAAGCACTGGCTCAGGGTTGCCGCCAGCCAGTCCCTCTTTCACGACTCCGTTCCATCATTCCTCCAGTTCCCCAGCCCCTGCCACATGGACGCCCAGAGTCATTTTTAGCACAAACAAACAAACAAACAAACAAAAAACTAGTGGAAGGCGTTTGACATGTCGCTGGGATTTTTGGAGGATGGCCCGGTTGCGCTGTTCAAGCCAGTTTAAGCGGCCAGCTCGCTGGAGGGGTTAAGAGCTCAGGAGCTCTGGGTCCCAGTCCCCACTCAGCCATGGGTGACATTGGGCCAGTCACAGCTCTCAGCCCAGCCTACCTTGCAGGGTTGCTGTTGCGGGAGAAAAGGAGACCCTCGTAGGCCCCTCGGGTGCCTCGCAAGAGGCAGTGAGGCGAGGATGGAAAGACCGTCTCATGGCGAACATGTAAAGGCTCGGCCACCAGGGGTCGCTCGTGAGCCATGAAATGGTGCCTGAGGCTTGAGCTTAGTTCTCCAGCGAAGACACTGTACTTAGAGTCACGCAGTTGCGACCCCAGCAAAGCGCTGCAGTCCAAGATTCCGGCCGCTTGGCCTCCACTCCCTGCCGGTGGCCTGGCGCAGCCCTGGGCCATCTGGGGGTCTCCCCTGCCCCATTTCTATCAGGATCAGGAACATTCACGTATTCTCACCCTAAAGTCCTTGGGTTCCCCAAGCCCCCTGGGGGCGGCTGGTGGGCCAACGTGCTCCTCTGACTGGCAAAATAGCAAGAATTGTACAGTATGCAAGTTTTGCACAACCCAGTCGTCAAGCGTGTGTTTTCTAAATTCAGCTGTCTGTGTTCCTACATTATTCCCCTTTTGCCTGTTTTCCTCCCACTGGGCTCTCCCCGTTTGGCAGCCTCTCCTGAGCCACATTCCAACCAACGGATGCCAGTATATCTTGGCCGATGCATCGAAAGCGCTCACTGCTTAGCCCTACTATTGAAGCATTTCTCTGTCACCCGGGTTCCTGGCCAGCCCCAGGAAGCTGTGCCTCTCGTCCAGCGTGATGAGGACGTCGTCCAGGGCGCAGAGTCTTGGCAGGCTGTCAATGGTGAAGCCCCGGTAGCCGGGCAGGAGCGCGCAGGGGTTGCCCTGCAGCACCAGGATCCGGAGCTGCTTCAGCGTCAGCAGGTGGGCGAGGAGGCTCAGCAGGCTGGTGAAGCTGTTGTAGCTCAGGTCGAGGGAGACGAGCTTCGGCCTGCAAGCAGAGCAGCCGGAGGAGCAACGAAAGCCGGCAAGGGAGCCCCCCAAAGAAAGACATGCCCACATTCCCGGCATCCCGTGCGTCACACGGCAGTCCCTCCCCACGACTCACGTGTGACCCAACTCTGTGGAGGACGGGGAAGGGAATGGGGAGCGAAGCGCCTGGGGAGTGCAGACCCCCAAAGCCGGGAGAAGCAGGCGGGGCAGAGTGCCACTGCGGGTCCGCGGCTGGACGGTCTGGCGAAGAGGACATGTGGCTGACGGGGGTCAGCCAGGGCTGGAGCTGGGCGCCACGGGGCCTCGTTGGGGGAGGCGCCTTCCTTGCCTCAGAAAGCCCCGGGTTGCCCTCTCACTCCCGCCCCTTGCTCTGAGTGGCCCCACCGCCAGGAGGAGGGGAGGCGACCGGGTGCTGGCCCCTCTCCCCGGACCACCGAAGCCCCGGCCTGGAAGACAAGGGCATCTTTCCAGAACAAGGGGCATCAAGGGGGAGCCGCAAGCCGGGCGAGGGCGAGGGGTCGCTGCCGGTGAGGCCGCCGGCTGGGCCCGCAGGAGGTACCAGAAGGCGTCCGTGAGGTACTGCTCCTCCGACGAGCCGAGCCGGCAGTTGTGGCCGAGGCCCAGGTGCTGCAGCTGGGGAGGCGGGTGAGCGCAGAGGTCCCGCAGGCCGTCCACATTGTTGCCACAGAGCTCCAGCACCTGCCGGGCGACGGAAGAACCGTGGGGCTCAACACGCAGGACGAGAAGGCCCAGGTCGGCCCAGAACGCCCTTTATGCCGGAGGGAGAAAATCAGGCTCGGGGTTTGGTCTCAGTCCTCGAGCCCATCATGCTGATCCCAGCTCCCCGCACTGCCAAAGCTTGTGACAAAACAAAAGACGAGCCACAAGTGAAAAAGGAACCGACGAAAGAGCGTAAAAGGAGAGTCTCAGTCGCCTGTGGGGAGCCTTTTATTGTTCCCCAGCATGTTGCGGAAAATGCTTTTTTCCTTTATCAGGGGCCACTTGTCTGCCGCAAGATTTTTTTTTTTTTTTAAACAACAACCTTCACCTAGTACTTTTGCACAAAAGTGTGGCAATCCGTTGGCAACAGTGATGTGCAGAGCATCAATAGTTGCTGGGGGGGGGGGGTTGTCATGACATGTTATTTTGAAATAAACCTACAAAAACCAAAAAGTAAAAAATGATAGCAGCCACTGGACTTGAATTGAATTTGATCAAGGAACCAAGGCTCAATGTGGATGCCCGGAAGTGCTCCCAGGGCCTGGCATGGGCTTCCATGGGAAGTGGTCGCGGCCCCATCGGTGAGGGTGTTCAAGGGCAGGCTGGACTTCGCATGGTAGGCATGTCATGAACAGATCTGGCTGGAGTGAGGGGTCAGTCTAGATGGCCTGGGAGACCCCTTCTGACTCGCTCTGTTTCTATGTGCCAAATTGCCACATGAAAACAAGTGGAAACCATAATACCGAACTACCTTTCTTAAAATTAAAATTTCTCGTTTGCTGCCTTTGATTAAGTTGTTTGCATGTCATCCCAATGAACTTCACATCTGCATTCCTATTTTGGGAAACGGCACTGCTTCCTCTGCCCTCCCCCTCTGTGTGGCCCCTTCTGTCGGATTCCGGCCTCCGATAAACGCCCACCCCTCTTGTTATCCATGGTCTTTCATTCACCTTCAGTGTTGGAGGAAGGTTGGCTGAGTTGATTGTGCTGATGCGATTTGCGCTCAGGATGAGCTCCTCCAGGTTGGGGAACTTTAACAAGCCAGAATCAATTTCGCTCACCTGGGAAGATGGAATGCAAAACACAGGATGGGCGGGAGAGAGAGAGAGACCTTGGGGTCCAGGCCACCAATGGCCACCCATCCCGACCTTCTGGTGGTGATCGCCTGGGGACGTCTGGAGGGCCAGGACTGGCCCATGGCTGGAGGGCTGCACACCCCGGGCCCAAGCCGCATCCCCTGGAAGGCTGGGCACTGCCCGACAGGAGCCGCCTGGCCGGGCCTGCTGGCCACTCACGTCTTTGCTCACAATTCTGAGCGATCGGAAGTAGCAGAAGATGAAGCTGCGCCGGACGACCCGTGGGGACTGCACTGCCAGCTCCCGCAGGCGCTGGTCGGCCAGGCTGCAGTCGGCCGGCAAAGCCCAGGGAGAGCCAGGGCTGCGCAGGAACGCTGTCAGCGACTCGGCCGGTTCTTCATCGGGCGGCGGAAGCCTCTCGCGAGGGGCCGGGCCAGCCCGCCGGGGGCCACACAGGCCCTGTGGCGCCTTCGGGGGGAAACGGGACTTATTCTGCGCAGGAAACAAGGCAGAGAAGATGAGCCAAGTGACGCCTGCCGGGGGAAAACGAGAAACGTGCACAGGGGCAGGCTGGGAGGGCACTCGAGCAGCGAGCTGGCGCTCCTCGGCAGCAGAACCCAGGAATACCGTGCTGGCACGAGCCTGCACTAGCTTCGACAGCGAAAAGGCCTGGAACTCCCAGCATGCCCCAGCTGGCAAGTTCAGTCCGAAAAAAGGCCTAAAACTCCCAGCATGCCCCAGCAGGCAAGTTCAGTCCAAAAAAAGGCCTAAAACTCCCAGCATGCCCCAGCTAGCGCGTTCAGTCCAAAAAAAGGCCTGGTCTACATTGCAGATATAATTCTAAATGCTAATGCTAGGCGAGTGAAGTTGGAATTGGCTGATCTTGAAGATGGAATACATAATCTTGTATGAGCCAAAACGTCAGTTAAGAAGGCTTTGATCTTAAATAACAACAATGTGCTAAGAGATAGTTTAATAAAGAATCGGTATTCCATGAGGAAAAAAATTAGTTCTTCAATCTCCCTCTGATGTTCCCAGTTGAAGCATACAGAAAACACTCAAGGAAAAATAACGCGCTTATAACTTATCGAGATGTTTTTGATCCATCAGGATGAATAAAATCTTGGCAACAACTGAAAGATGAAGGGAAAAATATATAGTGGCTTGTTTATCATGGGTTGATTTCAAGACTGAAGGGGGAAACTCAACCAAGAGAAGGGCATCTTAAGCGATCTGACAGATTTTGAAAAGTTGATTATACAGCAGAAGGATCATCTATTGGAAAGACTTTACAAACTGTTATTACACTGTGATACCGAAAGCCATGAAGATAAGAAACACACGACAACCTGGAAACAGAATCTATTGAATTCGCTGCTAGTCAAGTGTTAAGAGAAGAAGATGTTTTCTCTGTGCTACCCTGCTCCAAGGTAGAAAGGCAGAAAATCTTCAAAATTGCCTATGAGTCCCAAGAACATGCTTTTGAATATTGTGCCAGAGATCCTTAAAAAAAAAATGTCAGAAAATGTTACGTAAATCGCAATGGCAGCAAGAATCCCACTAGCTTCTCAGTGGAAAAAGCGCCAGTGCCCCCGACACTGAGGAATGAAGAAAGAGCTTAGCAGAATAAGCAGCAATGGTGAAGCTAATTAATTAAGTCGACAGAAGGGTGTTAGAAGAATTGAATGGTAAATGGAGAATGTATTGTGGTTAGCATGACTTATGGAAGTTCAGGGGAGTTTGGAAGGGAAATAGGAAAACACTAGAATTTGATCTGATTAGAAAATCTGTTGATATATAGAATATTTTTTTTTTGTTTGCAAACTTTATTCATAGAGTGTGGGAAGGTATGAAAGAGCCATTTTTGGGGACTGCAATGCATAGACTGAATCTGTTTATAATTCCCTTGGCAGCTTTGTTTATTCTGTTCACTTGAGTCTGTTCTGTTTATATTAGTTTCTTTCTATTCTATATTTTCTTCTATGTATTTGTATATGTTAAGAAAATAAAAATTGAAAAAAGAAAAATATGTGAAAAAAAGAGCTGCCAACCTCAGATGGTTCCTCAGCAGCACCTGCATTGCACCTCTTTGTGTATAGGTCTATTCTCTCAATACCTTTTTAATTCAGAGTTAGAAAAATAGGTAACCATCACACAGGCTTCTAAAAGTCACTGTTTGTAGCATTTTAAAGACCTCTGCTGTCTACTAACTATGATCACCTATTCTATTTTTAAGTGCTCTATAATCAATCATCGCTTGATGTAGTACTAAAATGTTATAGGAACACAAACAAAAATAAATTGAATGCAAATCTCTACAAGAATAAAATGCAGTACCAAAGAACAAACAGGGTTATATAAAACAGGCAGCATATAAGCTGAAACTCCTGCAGCACCTCTCTGCCCTTCTGGAGGAGGAGGAGCCCTAAGGGGACCCATCCCAAAAGGAGAGCGGGTTTGGCCGAATTAATCCCCCGTGCGGGTGGGGAATCCAAGCAGACCTCAACCTTATTTGAGGACTCAAGCCCGGCGGGGGGCTCGGACGCATCGAGGGGAGCCCCACACCCGCACTTACCCAGCTCCCCGTCCCACAGGGAAACTGGTCCAGGCACAGGCTGCGGAGGTGCGCCCAAAATGCCCCTGAAGCACTGAGGCCCGCCATGGCTCCGAGCAGCCGCCCCAGCGCAGAGCAGCCGACGGAGGAGGGAATGCCACGGGTACCAGCCCAGCGTCCTCCGTTACTAGGGAACGGACGCAGTTGCTAGGAGATGCTGCATGCCTTCCAAACCGGATTGCCTCCAGAGCAGCCGTCGCTCCTGCGGTTGCCTGGCAGCCCTTCTTTCCACTTGGAAGCCCCAGTATTTCCCACCACATGGCAGAAATAGCCACGCAAGTCCTTCGGACGGGCGGTGCTAACAGTTCTCCCTCGGGGAGCGCCTGTTCTGTGTGCCCGGAGCACTTTAAGGCTGCGCTGAGCCTGGTGGGGCTTTGCTCCCGTGGAGACACGCACCGACGGGTGGAGAGGAATTATCCTGCGGGCCACATCGGCAGGCGCAATTCCACGTTTAAACATGCTGTATGCTGGCCTTCTACAACCGGCTGCCCTCAGGCATCTTGGGCTGCGGCCCCGGAGATACGGGTTGAGCCGCAGAATGGGCTGAAAAGTGAACCTATTCAGTCATTCACATGATGTGACAAGGCATCAGTCCTCACGGCCCGATTCAGTGTGTTGGAAAGCAGTTGATGGAGGAGGAGGAGGAGGAGGAAGACGCTGGCGGGGTCGGGTATAATCTGAGTGTGGGGCCTCGTGCAATTTGGGTTCTCGCCGTGCGCCAGCAAACTACGTTTCGCTAGCCACCAACAGCCCAAAATTAAAGCACGGCGCGCTCTTCTTCGCCGCCGGTTTGCGGCAACGAGGTTCAGCCAACATGGGAAGCCATGGTCCAGACACGGACCAGGCATCAAGTCCAGCCTGCACGGAACTCCCCGCCAGCCCTTGATTGAGTGTGGATTGCTGCGTTGTCCGGACCCAGGCCCCGTGGGGCAGGAGCTGGCTGCAGCCGGCTTCGAACCGCAGCCACCAAACCCAGCAAAGTCCACTCAGCTCCTGAATACTATTGGCAGGAGGATGTGGCAGGGAATGGCAGACCCCATTTGGCCTGGCTCGCCAGAGTGCGGGCTTGACAGAGACCCTCTGCCCAGGCTCTGCAGCCAGAGAATCAGAGCAGTCCTCGCCCGAAGGCCGTGGAAGGTTTTTTCATGCCGATTTTATCGATCTCTCGCTGCCAGGGATTCAGACCCACTGGCTGAGTTGGGGTAACTCCCCGCCGCCCACTCCTCACCCCAGAAGTGTGCAAGCTGGTTTGTCCAACAATGGTATTCCATGGAGGGGAAACCACAGGCAGGAAGTGAGCAAGACTGTCTGCGGCTGTACTCAATGTGCCAACCGTTATCTAGGCCGAGGCTCCGAGCAAGATAAGGGCAGTGGAAACTCACCCAGAGTGGAGTGACGGAGCAGAAGGACAGCGAGAGCAAACGGATGGATTCAGCGAGGGAACTGCAGGCGGCGGTAACCAGCTGGCCTCTGCAGGAGCAGAAAATGGTGAAGACATAGAATTGGGATCAAAAGCAAGGAATCTGGACATCGTGAAGTATGAAAAATAAGTGGAGCAGAATTCCCCCTTCTTGCAGTCTGCAAGCCAACCCCCGATGGCAAATGAGACATTAGACAAACAGTTTGCAAGAGGGAGGAAGACAGGGCAAAATAAAATGAAATAAAAATAATATCACAGCAAGAATATTAGGAGCACGCCGGAAATTAGCTGATTTATTCCTCTTTGGGATGGCTTCCCATTAAGCCGCACTAAGGAAACCTCCGTACGTGCTCACAGCCTCATCGACCTTCTTATCACAAAACATGTTTCCTTTAGATTAAAATGAAAGAAAACGCTGAGAATGAGCTGCTTTCTTGCAGCCTGCAAGAAAGAGCATTCACATGAAATGTAAAGAGCACTCATATGAAAAAAAATTGCCTCGGTGAGGTCTAGCGACTTGTGCCCCTCTCTAAAGACTCTGGCCAAGTATTCGGCCCAGCCCGGTGGTTCTTACCCTACAGGGCCGTTTGGGGGGTCCGTTTGGGGGGTCACACAGAAAGTACAAAGGAGAAACAACAACGGGCAGTTTGGCTCATAAAGAGTTCCAAGTCCTATTGATAACTTTTTGCTGTTCTCATGCCAAATATGATTTGTCTGCTGAAGGAGCAACGCATCCGACATTTCTATCTGCAGTTTGGCCCTGATCTTCCGAGCCGCTTTGTCACTGGAATTAATGATAGTGGCTGTATGGCATTGTCAGCCCACGGTTCACATTTATAAATATCCATTACTGGTGAATAAATACAATAATCAGAGTCTTGATCAAGAATGGAAGGATTAATTGATGTATCCTGTCTTGCCCTATCAACCGATCTCTTTGTCAGCATCTTCTCAGAAGCAGTAACAGATCTCAGGCTATGGTTAATTCAGCAAGGACAGCTGATGCCACAAGCTCTTTATGTTGCGCTGTATCTAAATTGGCCCGTTGTTGGATGTGTAAGGCAATGCATGCTTCTCTCTCATATTTTATGGCTGCTTTTTGTAGTGGGAAAGGTGGTAGTACAGATGGACTTGTGACCGAAAGCTCTTTAATATTTATGGAGATGCATGGTCTTAAATGTCTATTTGTCTTCTGGAACTTCGCGAAGGCCATTGCAAACAGATCCTCCACACCCTTTGGACAGCTAAAAGGCGAGGAGGCTGAGGACGCGATGAAGGTTTCAAGTTTGGAACCAGTGGTCTTTAGGGACAGTCTGGAAATGTCTGGATAGCTGGGCTGCCTTGGCTGAAATCTCTCTATGAAGAGTAGCACATTTTGCTCTCTAGGGGCACTAGGGCCTAGGCATTCGTTGCAACAAATTCATTCAGCTACTCATGTGTTTTCCCTGTTTGATACTGTTGTTTTGGCTTTGATTTTGATGTTGGAACTATTAGTCAATATAAATGTAAGCATAGTTTTACTCATAAAATAACCAAAGAAAAACAGCAGCTCTTGGCACATTATGTTGGAATGCTTCTGTTGGGATGAAGATAAAATAGCAGGGAAAGTCTAACTTGGGTAGAGACAGACTCTCAAATTTCAATTTGCAAGGAATGAACACTGGGGAAGGCCTATACATCTTGCCTTCTGCAGCTTTATTGGATCGGTGCCCCAGTGCCTGCAGTAACTAACAACAGAGGTAGAGATGAACGCAACTGCAAAATCACAGCCCATATACAGACACTTTAATAACCTGCTAGTCACATACACCAATGCAGAGAAGTTTCTGGATAATGTTAGTACAATAGCATCGATGATCAGCTAGGTGATCAGAAAGAAAAGGACACCCGTTGCCTCAACTGCAGCTGGTGGAAACGCCTGTCTTTCCCCACTGGCTGTATTGGCCTCCAGCAGCTTCTCAGTCCAGCCAAGAATTCCATTTTCTTACAGTAACAGCAACACTAAGCAGTCGCCTGGCTTGGAATTCTGCTGCTTTCTGAGAAAGAGGTGCAGGAGCAATTCTATAACACAGAGGCACGTATAAGCGACCTTTTCCTACCAGGGTTTATCTGAATATTCCCAACGGTAGCTTCCACACCGGAGCCCCTTTTGCTCGTGAGGCAACATTCTGGCAGTCTTCTTCACAGAATGTCAGTGCTCCGCTGGAGCATTGATGGCACCATCGTGTGCCGCGCACTGACACATTATTTGGCAGTCACAGCAGAAAGAGCAGGAGTCCGAAGGGTCCCCTGCGCCCTCTTTTTCTGTTGATTCTGCAAGCACGTGCTGCAAACCGCCAGGGAGGAAGAAGAGGGCATGATTAAAAAAAAAAAATCTACTAATTGCATGGACACCATCGCAGCTGTGCAGGGACAGAGGTTGAAAACGAAATGGTGTGCGTGCACACCTCTGCAACTGTGCAGGAACAGCTCAGCGATCCTGCTCAGAACGGCACACCTGTCTAGGGGTGCAGCGAAAAATAGCCATGCCAACAAAATCACAGAGTTCAACTGCAAGTCCCATCAAAAACAGTGCCAAGATAGAGAGCAGGAGACGGGTGGAAATGCACGGGAGTGGGAATGCCAGCCTAAAATGCTGCACGCACGGGCCCTTCCTAAATTGATGCGGAAGCAGGACCACCTCCGCTGCTCCTTGACGTTTGCACCAGCAGCTGAAGAAACAAGCCGCTCTCCAGCTAAGCCATGCGCGGGGCGGGGCGGCAGCTTGCCTCTTCGGCACTGGGAGCCGCCACGCAGAAATCCCCAGCTGTGAGCAGGCTCTTCACAGGGTGACATCAGAGCCATCACGAACCCTTCCACCACATGACGGGAGGTTTCTGGCGCGGAAAATCCAATGCACCTTTTATTTGTGTTCCTTCTGATGGCTTTGCCTCCGCTTTGATCTAATCTTCCTTGGGCAGGCAGTGGGCAGCGCTTTCCTGGAAAGGGACTTCGGGTGGGTGGCGGGGAGGGCAAGGCGATGACGGAAGGGGGCATTTCTAATCGCCAGGAGCGTGGGGGTGGGATGCACGGGGATTCACCGGCCTGGGCGGACTCCTGTGCTCCGGCTCACTGAGAAAACACGTGCAGAAAGGCTGGGCGGGGTGGGGAGGAACTGTACTGAGTAATCTCACACATTTATCTGCCCATCGCTGTCCCTGAAGCTGCCGTTTCCACGGGCATCACAGGCAAGGAAGGGACCCAGACGGGCAGTGAGGGAGTGAACGTTATCTGGCTGTCTAAGTTTCAAGAATGAGTTACCAATTAAGGCGTTGGGGTTTTTTGCTTTCCCCCAGTTTTGCGGGAGCCGCACTCTGAACCAGGAAAGTCCTGCGATTCTGACTGTGTGGACTCCAAAGTGCCAAATGGGGCTGACGCAGTGCTGTGGAAATGTCCAGAATTTCCCTCGTCTCATGATTCAGACCTCTATATCCCACCTTTCTGCTTACCACCTGATCCATATGATGGTTAATATCAACTGATTATCAATGAAAAGATACCAAAGTCTAGATCTACTGTATGGCCGTCTCTGAACGTGTGCAGCTAGCTTCTCCGTCTCAGAGTTTAGGCCTCTCCTGGCCAGAGGAAG